CCACCCAAGTTCTTGCTTGTCCATAAATATACTCACTGTCATTTGGACTTTTTTCTGTCTGTCTTGCATAAATTTCTTCCTTTTCTTTTTGCCTCGTAATGCTAAGTCAAACTCCTGCAGGGCTTTAGCCACTGGAGGAGTAAAGAAAAACATAGAATAAAAAACCTCTTAAAGTACAAAGCAGAGTCCAGTTGTAACTATGGAATTTAAAATGGCAGCAGTGTCAATTACTCACACTTCTCTTTCTTCCTCTCCTCACGGGTCTGAAACCAACTCCGCTCCAAACCCTCACCCACAGTCTCTTGCTTTCCTGTCTCCAGCTGCTTCTTCGCCTTATTGATCTGAGATAATTCAGGCAAAAAGTGAGCTCATAAAAAAGATCTTTCTTTTCTAAAGTAGGCAGGTTAAGTACATTATGGCAGCCTCCTTATGTACTACACCTACTCCAGATCCTAAAAAAAAGTAAGGTAAAAAGAAGTAATTCCTAAAACAAAGCTTACCTGGGCCTCTGACTGCTGCATCTCACGTTCCTCACGCTCCAAGCACAGAACTGCATAAACATCTTTCTCTAGATTCTCAATCTTCTCTCGAAATTTTACTATGACATCTAAGAACAATACAGCATGAACATTAGAAACAGCTCATGTAAGTCCATCGTATTTTTCAGTACATCTCTCAGTGTCCCTCTGTACCACAATATTCCCTGTGTACTGCTCTCCTGCTTTTTACCTCAGTGAAGTGCGTACCTTGAGGGAGAATTCTGGCTTTCACTGCTGTTTTGGCAGTCTTCACAATATCCTTCAGCATCTTGCGCTCTTCCTCACCCACAAGTGAAACTGAACGACCAGCCCTGCCTGCTCTTGCTGTCCGACCCACTCGATGAACGTAGTGCTTAATGGTGTTTGGCATGGTAAAATTGATTACCTATAGCAGGAAAACTGTTAGTAGGGAAACAACATTAAAGGAGTCATTAAAAAGCTCAACATTGCAAATACTCACTGTTTTAACACCTTCGATATCAAGTCCACGTGCAGCCACATCTGTAGCTACCAAAATATCAATCTGCTCATCCTTAAAGCGCCTGAGCAGAGACAGCAAATGCATTAGCAATACAGCCATCCATTTCTACCCCAAGTATTCTACCTCCTAACTTCTCTTTTGCCCGTGACTGCCAACGAAGCCTGCTAATACCTGAGTGCTTCCAGACGCTGTGCCTGAGAGAGGTTCCCATGAAGCTCACCAACCCGCAGACCCATCAGCCCCAGTAGGATGTGCATACGGTGAGCTTGCTTCTTGGTCTGGGTGAAAAGCATCACATGATCTGGGAAGGTTCGAGTCAGAAGAGCTGAAAGAAAGCCTTCTCAGGAGCCTGCTTCACAGTCACCTGCTGATTCCAGTTTTTCTTTGCTCATCACTAACCTGATACAATGGCCTCACGATCCCCCTCTCGGTTGGGTCTGATCCTGATAAATTCCTGCCGCAGGAAAGGGGCAACATCTGTGTTGCTGTTCACAAAAATTCGAATGGGATTTTTCAGGGAAACAGAAGCCAAATCGTTCACCTACCAAAACAGATTAAGAGAAAAAAGTTCATATAATCTCTGGTAAAAGATTACACAAAGCTGTATTCGACTTTCTGCCACAGTAAGTCTCTCAGCAGCCTATCTTACCTCCTCTGTCATTGTGGCAGAGAAAAGCATTGTCTGATGATGGTTGGAGCACAACCTGATTATCTCTTTCATCTGTTCCTCAAAGTATTCATCCAGCATCCTACACAGGAGAAAAACAGCAATGTAAGGCAGCTTCATTTGATTCTAGCTAAGAAACATTACTTAAAGCAGGGCAACAAAGACTGCCCTATAGCCTGGGAAATGGAAAGCAGGAAACTACCATCTCATTTTTCACTGCTGACCTGCTTAGCTTACCTGTCTGCTTCATCCAAAATCAGCACCTCAACACTGCTCAGATGAAAAGAAGGGCAGTTGTGGAGATGATCAATCAGTCGCCCAGGAGTGGCGATAAGAATGTCTGGCCCAGAGCGCAGAGCTGCTTCCTGAGTCTTCACATCTAGGCCACCTGAAAGAGAGCGAACATGGACTACTGACTACCGCAGCAGGATGCACAGATGCAAATTGCCTGAGGAATGGGAAACAATTCAGATTAAAACCACCTTTTCTTGCTCAGAAACCAACAAGTAAGAAGTGTGGCATAGTATTAGAAATAAGATTTTAAACCACAGTACACCCACTAGAAGCATACCTGCAATAACCATACAGTCTCCAGTTTCACAACAGTGCAGCAGTTTACAGTGAGCTGCACAGTTCACTCACCTACAGCAAGGCAGGTTGTGACGCTGCTGAACTGTGCCAGCTGTTTTGTGACAGAGTGCACCTGAATGCCCAGTTCTCGTGTTGGCACAAGAACCAAAACCCTTGTTACTGGAGCCTGGCGAGGCTTATAAATCAGGCGTTCCAGGACAGGCAAGATGAAGGCAGCTGTTTTACCTAAATAAGAAGAGTAAGAATTACCAATTATTGTGAATATCTAACTTTTGATGTTTCCCGTGCCCTGCTCAACCCCCTACCTGTCCCAGTGGCAGCACAGGCACAAATATCCTTCCCCAGAAGAGCCACTGGGATACAAGCCTTCTGAATTGGAGTTGGTTGCTTGAAGCCAAGAACTGTGATTGCCTACAAAGGACACAGAGCAATTAAACTCTGCCTCTAGTATAATCACACCTGGAATACTGTGCCCAGTGCTGGGCTTATCAGTACAAGAGACATGGACATACTGTAAAGAGTCCAGCAAAAAGACACAAACATTATGAAGGGACTGGAGCACCTCACGTAGGAACATTTTTCAGAGTAACATGTAATAACTAAACTAGGTAAATACCTTCAGCAAAGGTCGTGAAAGATTCATGTCCTGGAATGACAAGTTATCATCATATTGGGACGCATCTTCAAAAAAGCTCCCTGCTTCCTAGAAACAGCAACACGACCACCACAACATGTTACCAATGGGCTCTGGGCTGTTTTTTTTGAGTTCACTTTGTTAACCAAAGTCAAATTCCTCCACAAGAAACACTGGAGAATGACCTAGTGTCACTCTGTCTAACACTTACTATTTCTCCCTTTTTTGATCTCCTCCGTTCCTTCACTTTGACTGTATCTGCAGAGAAACATGATAGTAATTGACAAGCACAGCTAAACACATAACAAGACATGGCAATGACCATAATCTTTTTTTTTTTGTCTGAATGAGTTATTGAGGGAGAAGCCTCAGAAACAAGTACAGGCAGGCAACAGAGTAAAATGCTCAAACAAAGCATTTTGCTCAGAAGCAATATCACAGAAGGAAGACAAGTTCTTGCTCACTCCCAGCAAAGTTTCACTACAGACTTTTCTCTAGTGAGCCAGGAGTCTGTCAGATCCTTGCCCCTCAACCATCTCCCTATGTACTGCTAATACCTGCTTTTGTGAAGATAGCTTCATTGTCCAATAAACATTGAGACTCCACATCTTCTCCATCCCTACTGAAATCCTCACACTCCCTCTTTTTTATTTGATTATCCTCGTTCTCCACATCTTCATCTCTCACTTTTGCTTGTTCAGCCTCTCTTTCCTAAGAAGAGATTAAAAAGTTTTAAAAAATAAAAGGACAAAAAGAAACATCAATCCTTTGTGAGCTTTGTTTTGTTGCTATTATCAGCCCATGGTTTTGCATAACTTTAGGCATTAACAATTCTGCATTCCTATCACGTGTGGCTGCAAAACAAGCTGAGGTCATGAGCTCAGGATGCTGTCAGAGCCTGTGCCCCTGGAGGGAATGCAGTAGGAGGCCAAACCCATGCCAGTCTTCAGCAATGAGAGGCTGAAGGCTCTGACCTGGAACTTCCTTCTCTGTCTCACTTTCTCAATCTTCTCATCCAGTGTCGTAGCTGCTCTCTAGGCAGAAAATCACAAAAGAAGAGCTGTAATAAGTGCATGGGAAAGCCGGGGGCACTGTGCTTTGACACTGTGGCCCCCGCCTCAGGCCTCACCTTGCTGCGGAGGTGGCGCAGTGTCTCCGCCCAGGCGCCTTCCCCACCGGCCTCCGTCTCACCAAAGACGAAACCGGCGCTGAAGTCCCCGCCTGTGGGCCCGCGCCGCCTGGGACCCGGCGCCCGGAGCAGATCCTGTTACAATACCCGTGAGCAACGTCCGCAGGACGGTCAAACCGGACCGCGCAGACCCAGACCCCGGCCCGGCCCCGGAGCGATGCGATCGGATCCAATCCGATCCGACCCAACCCAACCCGACCCGACCCGACTCGACTCAACGCAACGTGGGCCAACCCAGCGCGATCCAATTCGAACCGGGCCCCGCACCAGCCAATCCGGCCCGGCCCATCCTCGACCCAGGCAACAGCTATTGCCCGGCCCCACCTCCTCATCCTCGGAGTCGCCAGACTCGGGGTCCTGAGGCCCCACGTCCCCCTCTGCGATGGTGCCCACCAGGCCTAAGCTCTGCAGCATGGCCGCTCCCAGCAGCGCCACCACAACACCGCCCCGCCCCGCTCCGCCCCCCGGATGCCGCGCATGCGCAATGGCGGCCGGACGCTCGCTTGTGGGTGGGGCAGTGGCTGCCCCTCCTGCCGGGCGGGACAGAACCTGGGGGCTGCGTGAGGGATGCGGAGCGCCTGCGGCTTCCCCTGCACCCGGCGGCCGGTAGCGGAGGCGGGCGGGGGGCGCTGCCCGCCGGGGGTGCCTGGGCCGGGCCGAGCCCCCTAGTAGGGTTAGGGTTAGGGTTAGGGTTAGGGTTAGGGTTGGGGTTGGGGTTGGGGTTGGGGTTAGGATTAGGGTTAGCCAAGGGCCAGCACAGGAAAGTACGTCTAGTAAAGACTGCAGGCTGCACTTGCAGGGAATTCTGTTCTGCATAGGAATTCTTATGCTGCAGGATAAACTAAAACCTCTACAAAGAGTACCAGACTTCTACAAGCGTGTAGCAGACCTAACCGATTCTATGAGCAGAATCGATGCAAGTGAGAGGAAGGGGGTGATAAAGCAGCTGGAGGAAGTCCAGGGGTGGCTGGATGAGCCACAGCTCAGTTTTACAGCACAGGATCTCTTCGACCTGCAGCCTGAGACCTGGCAAGGTGCAGATGGAAAGTGTGACGATACACCCAGCACTTGCAGCAGAGATTGCCAGTGCCTGTGAGATCCTGGAAGGGACAAAGAAGTTCACAGAGGAGTATGAGGCTACTGCAAAGGCTGACCTGGCTATGCTTTGTGCTGCCTTGCCTGTGTCAGGATTATAGATCTCTGAAGCTGAGCAGCTGTAGATTGTCACTGCTGTTGGCTGTCCCCCTGGACACTGATTCAAGTGCAAAAATGGGCATATCTATGTGACTGGGAGCTGTGGATGGACAATGGAGAAGAGCAAGTGCCCAGAGGCAAGCAGTCATTGGCGGAACAAACGACAATCTTGACAGCACTAACAGCCTCGCCTCTGAGATGAACGGTGCGACCCACGCACCATGCTCTTAGGTGACCAACAACCTGCTCAGAGGAGCTGCGCTGGCTGTAGCGGCTGCCGGCGTCGCTCCTGCTTCTCTTGAGCCGGGGACGCCGCTAACAACGTGCTGGGAGGCGAAGGGTCCCGTCCGCCGGGGCACGGAACTCGCTCGCCGGAAGAGGCGATGTAGCGGTCTGCCGTTACCCGGAAGCGGACTTGACGCACAGTGCGTCGGTGACCGGAAGGGGCGGGGTGTATCCGCTGGCACCTCTCGAAGCCATGGAGGGTCGGGAGCCGCTGCTGGTCCTGCGTGGCGCGCTACGGGCGGTGCTGGCACGGGTCCGAGGTGGGTTTTGGGGCCGAGCGGGGTCTGAGCCGAGCTGACTCTTCGCTGACTGAGGTTTCTTTCTGCCGTTTCAGAGGGCGAACCGGGCGAGGGCCGTGAGCCGTTCGAACTGCCGCTCTTCTGGGACGCGCTAGGTACGGGTAGTGGAGCGGGCCGGCGGTGGGCCGCGCGCGGGGTCGGCCGCGCAGAAGGTGCTGGGCTGGGTCAAGACCGGCGCGGGGCGGGCCGAGGCGCGGGTCTGTCGTGGGGGAGAGATCCCGGCATGTTTCTGGCCACGGCCTTGGCACTTGCCCTCCACTGCAAGGCGCTGGCGTTGGTACAGCAGCGGCCAGTATCAGACAGTTGGTACAAAACAAGCTACAAAGGGCATTAGAGCAACCTGATCTAGTGGAAGGTGTCCCTGCCCATGGCAGGGGATTGGAACTTGATTAGTTTTACGGTGCTTTCCAACACAAAGCAGTCTGTCATTCTATATTTTTGAAAACCTTTGGTCTCAGTTGAAGCCTCACAGCATCCTGGTGAAGGTATCGTGGACCAGGACACAAAATGTGGTTGTGGATATCACTACCAACTAAGTAAAAAAACATGGAATAAACATGGCACAAATGTACTGTGGAATTTTTCTTTTTGTGTATTGTTTGGATGGAAGAAATTACAATCAAGCAGCAGGGCAAAGTAGCATCAGAGGTGTTGCTCATCTGGCTGCTCTGTTCTTTCATCTTGTACCCAAGTTACTTTCTATTCTGTTGTTCCCACTGGATCCTTTCTAGGTCAGACATTCAAAGTAACATCACAAGAAGCTACAAAGCTGAGTCTGGCATTCTCAAGGCCTCCACTGACTTCTGCTGAGGTGAGTGAAAGCCCTCACAGTGAAATAGCTTTGTGTGTGAGACAAGTTTCAGGTATCTCTTAGTTCATTTGACTAAACAAACTCACTTGGTTCATCACAAAAAAGGGATGTCTGGGTGGACTATCCACTGTAGGGTGTATTAATGAAGTTCAGGAATTCTCCAGAAAACTAATTTCTGTAAGATAGGAAGATGTACTGAATAGAAGTAATTTTACATTCTTTTCTTTAATATCTACAGCTGATTGCTGATAGATACAGGATATTGGACAGTACAGACCTTAGATTTAACTTTCCAGTACCTAAAGGGGGCCTGCAAGAATGCTGGAGAGGGACTGTTTACAAGGGCCTGTAGGGACAGGAAAAGGGGGGATGTCTTTAAACTGACAGAGGGGAGATTGAGATGAGATGTTAGGAACAAGTCATTGGTGTGAGGTTGGTGAGGCCCTGGCACAGGGTGCCAAAGAGAAGCTGTGGCTGCCCCATCCCTTGCGGTGTTCAAGGCCAGGTTGACAGAGGGTCTTGGAGCAACCTGCTCTAGTGGAAGGTGTCCCTGCCTGTGGCAGGGGTTGGACTTGGATGAGCTTTAAGGTCCCTTCCAACACAAACTAGTCTGTCATTCTGTATTTTTGCTGTTAATTCAGAGACATTTGTAACACCTGTTTTTGGATGAGAAAAAAGAAAGCCATCTAGTTCAGAATAATGATCTAAGGTACTTCTCTTTAATGCATGACTGCTACATGAGGACATGTTTTGCTGCCAAATCATGAGGTGACTTAAGATGTATACAGCTTGCTTACTGTATCTTCTTCTTGTGCTGTATTTGTTTCTCAAGCAAGGTGGCTATTACTGTGCTTCCCTTTTCTCAAAGTATCTGAATGTGATTGCTTGTGAGACCTTCTAAATTCTGTGCAGCCATGGACTATTCACAGTTAACCTTTTACCTGTCCATTTTCAGGATTGCCAGAAGCTGAGTGAAGACGTCCAAAATGCCATTCTTGCAGTTGCCACAGTGTACTACTGGCTCCCCAAAGGCCAAGGTGAGATAATGACAGCTGGGTAGGCACCAATATATAGGATGCTGGTTCTTTCGCCACTGTATAAAGAAACCCAGTATTTCAGTGCCTAATGTAAGATCTGGCATCTGCAGGAAAGCAAGTTCTCTTGAGCAGGCAGTCCCATTATCAGCTGTGCTGTAGACTTGCACTTGTTTGAGTGAACCACTTTTCTGTCTACTCCTTTAGATTTCCATCTGTGAAAGAGTGACAATGTTGGAAGTTGTATAGTTGACTGAGTGTTCGTATTTATAAAGTTTTCATATTTATGAAGTGTTGAGATCCTTGTCCAGAGTAATTTATAACTTCATTTATACAGTGTATCCACACAGATTGAGCAGGCTGTGTGTCCATCTTAGCAGTTGCTTTCTGTTGGTGCTGCCTTTGTGGCAACTTTCTTGCTCTTTCTCAATCTTCACCAGGTACTACTCTTCGGAAGATGGTACGAGATGCTACCACTGAAGTAGTGCAAGGAATGATCCAACTCACAGAAACAATTCTCAGTGCTCCATTGGAGAGGTAGTGATTTTCAAGGGGGGAAAAAAGGAGAGAAAGTTACAAGCATATTTGTTAGGAAGCTGCAAGTGCAGACTGCTCCCTAAGGGAAGGGGGAAGGCAGAAGCAGAGCATTGTTATGAAGCAGGAAGAGGTAGTGGCCTCATCAGCAAAGGCCCTGTACCTCTGTGCCTGAGTGAGCAGAGCAGTGCTGGTGAGGTTCAGTTGAGAGTCCAGATGATAAGACAAGCCCGTAGCAGTGAGGTCAAGCTGGAAAGTCAGGCCAGCAAGTCAGGATCAGGGTCAGCTCCAGAGGGAGTAAACAGCATCATACACCATCTAGTGATTGCCCAGCACATCTGTTACAATGAGTTGGGTCTGAGGTGAAGGCAGGGAGGTCAAATCCATTGGTCAGGATCCAGGTCAGAATCAAAGAGAAGTCTCATACCCCTTTGATATGAGTATGAGACTTCTACCTTGTATATAGCCAACTAAACTCCTGGGAGGGTGGAATGCCCTTCAGGGCCCTCACAGTGCCCTCTTGTTCCAGTGACCTGAGTCAGGTACATTTGTCTTCATGGAGAATAGATTTTCATCCTGTCTGAGACAAGAAAAGATTCTGAGAGGAGGTTTACAATGAAGGCGCTGCATAGCATTTACTCTGGCAGTTTTTGCCCTTGGAGTGAACTGTCATACGCAGTGATTTTGTCACTTTATAAAGCTTGTCACTGGACTGATACAGACTGCTTCCTGTCCATGCATTACATGCCACTGCCCTTAGGCAGAGGTCAGCAGTCTAATACAGACTTCTGGTTTGCATAGATATTGAAAGATACATGCCTAAGCACCTTGAGAGGCCTTTGTAAGAGGCTTCTGCTTCTTTTTCCAGTGAATAATTAAACTCAGGAGAAACAAGCACTTTTAGCTTTACACAGACATGAAATACTAGTGACAGGCTGGTTGGTGACATCTTTCCAGCAGAGTTTCTACTAGTGTGCATCTTTGGTGCAGAAAGTAAATAGTCTAGCAGAGTAGTGTTACTGAGTTTAACTTCGGGGGGCTTTGTTTCGTTGCAGCTTGTCTCAGGAGCAGCTTGTATCAACTGGTGGTGTGTGGGAGGCATGTGAACAAGTGTCCAGTCTTCCACGAGGTGAGGATTGTATATGCAGAACAACAGAACTAGGACATGTTGTCTTGGAATATCAATAGCCCTTGCAAGGGACATTCTGGCTACTACAGTGAAGAGTCACTCATTCTGCAAAACCTGTCTGGGTTTGAAATGCTTAGAAACCAGGCCAGATGCTTTGCATTGCAGCAGTGCAGCTCTGAGCTCTGCAAAAAGTTTGATCCCATAATCTCAAGGTCTAACGATTGCAAACCAAGATGAGTGTTTTTGCAAACTGATTTGAATCGGTGTAGTGCCGTACTTTTCATCCTTTTACATTTGCAGATAACCAGGCAGCAGTTGCGTCAACTCTGGCTGCATGTCTAGGTGTGGTGAAGGATGCTCTGGAGGAGATGGAGCATGTAAGGAAGCCCCTCAGCTTTTGACGAACCTTCAGTGGTGAATTGCAGTGTGGTTTAGTGATGGAATACAGGGATTGTTTTATATACAGACTTTGGTTTAAATTTGTGCTGATATGACTTAGATTGGTTCTATGATCTAGCTGGATCTTAATGAGTGTTTAAACTCAAGCCTGCTTTACTTTATATAAGGTTTCCATAAAGCTATGTCCTGAATTGCAGGGGGATGTTGAGACAGCAGGGCAGGTTGATGTAACAATGGCATTACTTGCCAGATTCTTGCTGTTTGCTGTGTTGAATTGGGTTGGGGGAGTAGTTTTTCTTAATTACAGAAATTAACAGAATCTGGTAACTGAGGTTCTGGTCGGAGAGAGATTCCTCCATAAATTAGTTGTGTGATTTCTAAAGTATGTTTTCCTCCTGGGTATTGCCTGGGTATTGGTGGAATTGCTATTAGGCTCTGGGGTTTCAGTGCATCTGTGTTCTTAGGCTCTGGTGGAAGGGCAAGACCCATACAGTGACATCATGGAAGATGAAGAGCTGGGCTTTCGAGGTAACAGAGATACATATTGGTCAGAAGCTGACCGGAAGCTGCTTGGCTCCTGCATGGGATTAATGAAGGCTTCTAAAGCTTGCCTGAAGAAGGTCTTGGGTGTAGTGAAGGCTTATGGGAAAGCTGATTCTCCAGACCAGATTGCTCAGCTGGATGATCTTGCAGACATTGCTAATGAGATCAGTCCAAGGTAAGCAGGTCTCTCCCTTTTGCCACTTTTGCTCCAGAGCAGTCCCTGTCCTTGAGGTGTAGAGAACAGATTAGGAAAACCTTGTATAATACTGAAACTGTGAGATGGTGGTGGAAGCAGGTGTGCTGGGAAGACTATTAAGGTGTCGGCTGTTTAGAGTTGTGCAAGATGGGAGAGGAGCATAGAATCGAGTAGGCTGGAAAAGACCTTTAAGACCATCAAGTCCAACTATTCCCCCAGGACTCCCAAGGCCACCACTAACCAGTGTCACTGAGGGCCTCATCCACATGGTTTTTGAGCACTTCCAAGGGTGGTGATTCCACTACTGTCCTGGGCAGCCTGTTCCAATGCCTGACCACCCTTTTGGTGAAGAAATTTCTCCTAATACCAGTTTAAAAATCCCCTGGCACAGCTTGAGGCTGTTTCCTTTTGTCCTATCACTTGTTACCTGGGAGAAGAAACCAGCCACCTCTTCTCCTTTCAGGTAGTTGTAGAGAGCGGTAAGTCTCCCCTGAGCCTTCCACACTAATCTCCCTGAGGTACCTCAGCCATTCCTCATCGTACTTGTCCTCCAGTCCTTCACCAGCCCTATTGCCCTTCTCCTCTGGACCTGCTCCAGCACCTCAACGTCTCTTATTGAGTGGCCCAGAACTGAGGGCAGGATTCAAGGTGTGGCCCCACCAGTGCCCAGTACAGGGGGTTTATTACTTCCCTGGCCCTGCTGCCTATGCTATTTCTGATACAGGCCAGGATGCTGTTGGAATTCTTGGCTGCCTGGGCAGAAGCTGGATCATGTTTAACTCTGTCAATTAGCACCCCAAATCCTTTTCCATGGGCAGCTTCCCAGCCAGTCTTCCCCAAGCCTGTTAGCAGCACTTTGGTGTGGAGTTGTGGCCATGTCTCACTGTCTCACTCTTGAGGTGAGAGTGGCATGCACTTGTCTGAGAAGGCAATGAAAAGTATCCCATGGTTATGACTGCCACTGTGTCCTTGTTATGCAGTGCTGTTCCTGACATGTATTGAGGGTGGGTGTAAGCTTTGACCAGGATCCATGAGTTGTGCTATCAGGACTTTTTCTTCTGTTGCTCCCCTCTTCTGTTCTAGTGTTGATGAGCTGGCACTGAGCATGTATCCACCTATGAACCAGCTGGCTGTGCGGCTTAATGTAAGTATCTGCAGCCTGCATGCAGCTCTACTCACTTGGCTGTAGAGAAGGGGAAGAAACTGAATTGGAGAAATGACTGACTGTCAGGAAGAGGGTGTTAGTGACTGTCTCTGTAACAAGTTTTTTAGGGATGAAGAGTCCCCCTTTGGTTCCTGCAGACTTAGCTTCCTTCAGGTAGAAATGCATTCCTCATCTTTACTTTGACAGGGAAGAGGGTGGCCACTTAAGCTTTGGCTCTGAACTATAAACCATAGGGACATCCAGTGACAGTATCTCAGGAAAGTGAGGTCTAAGGCTGCCTCTTACTGCATGTCTTTCTCCTTGGGTAATGTAGACTTGCTCAAATAAAGTTATGTAAATTAAAAATATATATTAAAAATTCTCACAGTGAGCATGGTTAAGTACTGAAAGAAACTGATCAGAGCAGCAGTGGAATCCCTATCTCTGGCAATACTCAGAACTTGACTGGGCAAGGCCCTGAACAACCTGACTGAACTTTGAGGTAGGCCTTGTTTTGGGTAGGAGGCTGTATTAGATAACTTCCAGGTCTCCCGTGCGTCATAGATTAGCTATGTATCTTTTCATATCTGAGATTATTTTTGTATTCTTAATTTTGATTTCATGCCTTTGGCCCGTGGCTTGATTTTTTTTGAGGTAAAGAAATAAGGTATTGCTTAATACCAAATTGCATGACAGTTGATCACTTGTAAGTTTATACCGTAATATCAGTTACTAATTTCTAATAGGCTTTATCTTTTTAAAGAAAAAAGCATTTCAACATATGCTTTAAAACACAGTCTGTCTTTATTTTTGTCTGTCCCAGCCAGTGGCAGGCTGGGAGACCCTCCCTCCATGGCAGTGATAGATAACTTTTCTGCATCAGATCTGTGGCAGTTTTACTCATTCTTGGCTGTGCACCCTACTTTCTTTTCCAGTGCTGCTGAGTTCCTTTAAACATGTTTATCTGATGTTATTTCCTTTTTGTTTCTTTCTAGGCTGCTAAGTTGGCCTCGGTATTAAAGAAAGTCTTAGAGATTACAAGGTGAGTATGAGTTAGTTTTATATGTGTGTGTTCCCTGTTGATAGCTTTCTGCTTCCTAAGGTGCCTCATTTCTGGGCAGCAAATGCTGGGCATTTTGCAGTAATTATGATGTTAGTCAGTCACAAAGGAATGTAAGTAAGAACAGGATGGTAGGGATAAAAGTGGTTCCCACTGAAGACACACACATATAAGTTAAGGTTTGGCACTAGAGACACAGGTGTTGATTCTTCCTTGTCCAAAGCACTTGGGCTATAGCAGTTCTGTTTTAATGCCGTGGTAATGCAGCACTTCACAATACCCATGTGTTGTCTGGATGCATAGGTGTAAAGACACCCAGGAGGCTTTCCTAATGAATTTCCTCCACTTTTGCAGGACAAGCCATGTATGTCCACCATCAGAGGAAGGCTGGGTGCAGTTTCTAGCTGGTGCAGTAGATCACAACATGAACAAAATCAAGAACTTCACACAGGGTCAACTTTAGTTCTTCCGTGTGTGTGTGTTGCTGACACTGTTTCTGGCATGTACTTTTCCGGTGAATCTTGGTATTCTTCAGCTATTGGGAGAATGATAACAGTGTTTTTAGGAGAGAACTTTACTGTCACTTAGTAAAACTTTCCCAGGGAATTGCTCTTTGCTATTGCAGAAGGTATAATTTTGCCTGGATTCCTGTGATCCTGAAATGGTGCAGGGCTGCATCTTAATGCTGTGAATATGCCCCATTCTTCAGACATTGCAACCAGTATGGGTTCAAAGAAAATAAAATATTGCTAGATTTGCATGAGTGGCTTTATCTTTTCAGGTGGCAGAGGATATGTACAGAAGGAAGGGGTCTTGCTTCTTTTGCAGGAAGCTTAATGAACCATTAAAAACATGTAGTACTGCTGCTATTTCCTGTCTAACCTTAGAGAAAAGTGACCTATCTTTCTCTTTACTGTTTCCTCAGAACGCAGTAGAAAATACTATTTACTACTTTGCCAGTGTAAAGGATCTGTAGAGGAATAATAGTATTTCTCTAGAGAAATGTTACATCTGTCATCACTTTAAAGTTCTAGGATATTCCTTTTTGCCATGGTAGGGAAAAATGGCTAAGCAGTGGTGGGTTCAGCACATATGCGTGGTGAGAAATCCAGCATTTGCTTGAGCATTTACCCCATCTTTGCCACAGTAAGGTCGAGCTTAAAAACTGGAAAGTGGGCATAATGGCAGATGGAAGAGAGTTGTTTGTACAAATAATCAAAGTCAGTCATGGTTTTAAATATCTTTAATTCAGCTGTTAACATCTATGCTTGCCTGAGACCAGGGCACAGATCATGACTGCTCTTCTGTAAAAGAACAGCAGGATCTGTTCTAAACTGGGCATCAGGCAGTTGCAATGTTGATAGTTTTGTAGCTCTTTAGGTTCTGGAGCTGAAGGCAGGTAAGATGTGCAGTGAGTCTTCTGGGCCCAGTTTGGGTGGGGGTGAATGGGATTTGCAGCTGTTGAGTGCTTTTAGGTTGCACAGAGCCCAACCTGAAAGGTGAGAAGGGATTATGCGGGAAGTACGCCTCTTTGTAGTTCTAGTTTCTGGCCCAGGAGGTGCATTTGATCGACACAGGTATGGGGCCAGAAAAGGAAAGGGGGTTGAGAGGGGGAGGGTGGCAGGTAGTGGTTATCTGAACTATCCCAATGGAACTGTGATGTGGTGATGGTCTGGGGAGGGATATATGTCAGGAGGGTTGAACTCCCCATGGAGTCATCTAAGGTTACTTTGCCATAATGCAGCTTCTTGAGAGCAGTGTGTGTGTAGGCAGGGTTAATGCCTTTTTGGGTGACTCAGCTAAGCCAGGTTTGTCTGGTTCTTCAGAGAAGGGGTAGACTGTTAAAATTGTAGCCAGGGACTGTCTTTGTTGCTGACAGTGGGTAGTATGTGGAAAGATGCGTCACGAAGAGTATAGTTTCACCCCATTCACGTATGTTCATGTGGCTATCTAAAAAACGATTTCTCAGCAGCAAATAATTTCTCAATTTTGTAGCTCATTTCAGCAGCCTATAACTGTTGTCTTATCTAATGTGTATTTCTCCCTAGGGCTTGTAGTACTTCTCGTTAACCTTCTTGTTGGCAGGGAGCTTTCCTTCTGCTGTCTAGGCTTTTGGGGTTGAAGCTTTCAGAAGTGTTGTACTGACTTCAGCTTATGTATTACACATCTGTTGAAAGTTATGTTACCTGGATTTTCTTCTCCTCAGTGAAAATCTTCTGTATTATCTGTCAATAAAGGATGGGATGCCTGGGGCTTTCATGCTGCTGTAGTCTCTTCCTGCCATGTTGTTGCTCGCTTAGTTTTGGGGACATGTTTTCCTGCACAGGGGTTTTCTTTAGCTGTTCTTAGATAATTCAGTTTGCACTTACTTGTACTTTCTTTGTCTGTAAATGAGCCCTCGCCCTGCAACCGCTATCACACACTTCTCCAGGGGTTCGGTGAGAGGGTTCAGGAGGCCGATCTTTGCTGTGCTTGGCTGATACTGTACCATGTTTTCTGGAAACTGTTGGAAGAAGGAAATGAGCTGAAACTGAGAGAAGGAAAGAGATTCTTTTGTGGTTAAAGGGAGATATTATTTTTTTTGTGTGAGAGGTTTCAGTCTGAGCTGCCAATTGCCAGAAGGGGCAAAGTCCAGCTTACTTTCTTCTTGACTATGGTATTCTGCTGTAGTTCTGTTCTGCATTGTGTGATTTCCATACTGGTGAGTGAGTTGGGAGTCATTGGGATTTCTTATGCTCACACGTAGACAAGGTAGAAGAGGGAGTACTGTATACAACAGTGTGACACAACACACTTTTCCCAAACTGATGTCTCAGTGCTTTGAAAAAAGCCTGAGGAGAGCTACTCAACCCAGCAGAATTTTTTTTCTCTTTATGACTATGAAAGCTGTTTTCTCATTACTGCAGTAACAGAGCAACTGATCTAACCTCAATAGTGAGAGGGGGATCACAAATGATGATCTCCTCCTGTGCAAAGTATATGTAGAAGGAGTCCTTGTCTTTCAATACGGCAGTCAGCCTAAGCAGGTGGTCCTGTCCCAATTCTTCTTTGTATTGCGAGTAAGGCAGAAAGACTTGCAGGTTGTTAGCTGGAATACAGAGTGATGAAATACAGATGACAATGCAGATGATAAGTACTATTTGGTCTTAGGCTGCATAGTGCCTAAGGGTGTTTAATGCCCAATATTGTACTAAAAGCTGCAGTGATCCCACCTGCATTTGCAGATTCAAAACATTTGTCAATGTCAACTTAAAGAAAATTTATTTCTGTCCCCTGCAATCAGCTGTTTGGGAACCTTTTGAAAAGTTACAGCTAAGTGCATTTTTCCTGAAGTGAGAGGACTAGACACATTTTTCTAGCCATGCACCCAGTAGAATCCTTACCTTCATTGCTTCTCAGGGTAAAATGAAACTCTTCCTTCCAAAGTTGGGTAATGGGAACACCATTATAATGTAGAGACTGGGCCCCAACTAGCAGGTGAGTAGCCTTTTCTCCACCACTGTGGTTAAATACTTCAATGGAAAGTGGAACATCTTGTCCCCGTAGCAGAGAATTCCTCAGTTGGAGGTGCATGAAGAGGTTAACTGGCTCTTCAAGGGCAGTAGGAACGAAGCTAAACTGTGTTTTGCTGCTGCTGATGATTGTCTCAAGCTTCTTTATCTTTGTGTAGGCTTTGTCAAGTACAACTTTTTCCTGAAGAGAGCCTGTCACAAGAGAGCACATATTTTAGCATTCTTTACTAGTGTGAAGCAGTAGATGCAGAAGGATGGCATTGAATCATCCTGGCAGTACTGTAGATAACTGTTTCTATCTTTATAGAGAGAGCCTGCTGTGCTTCAGTTGGAGCAGATTGAGAATTTCAGCTGACAGGACAGTCATTGGAGGTACCCAAAAGCTTCTGTTAGGAAACGTTTGTCTTAGTTTTTAAAGCACCTCGGTGCTAACATCTGTCAGAATAAAAGAAGCAGTTGCCTTTTTAGCTATAGCTGTAGCTAGGGCACAGGACTATGTTGTGATGGACTGCAGCCAAGGAGACAGCATGCCATGGTCTAAGATGGGATGGTAGGGTTGGGTAAGGGAAATAGCACTCAGTAATAGATTCTGAAGGGGGTGCTACTTTTCAAGGGAGCGATTTAGACAATATCTGGAGCAGTCCTTTTCAGAAAGCTGGAGTCTGAAATATATATATATTACAGAGATAATGGGAGGTGGAGATACAGAGTGTACAGGTAACAGAAATCAGGAAAGGTTTTCCAGACGGGAAAGTACCTGCTGAAGAAGGGTGTTGCCCTTGAGAGAACTCATTAATGCAATGGAGCAGAATGAAATTTGTGCATGACTTCTATAGACAGCAAGAGTAAGGTGTCCTTGTACCACTCAGAAAGGGGAAGTAGTGAGAAGTGGATGACCCTAATGCTCTGGTACAGCTCTGCTCTCTAGTCCTTCACTCTTTGTAATGATGGCAGAGAAAATGTGTTCGACCACTTGCCTACCCCATACTGTTCAGCCTGGAGAAGAGAAGACTGCGGGGAGACCTCATAGCAGCCTTCCACTATCTGAAGGGGGCCTACAAGGATGCTGGGGAGGGACTCTAGATCAGGGACTGTAGCAAGAAGACAAGGGGTTATGGGCTTAAAGTGAAGAGGAGGAAGTTCAGGTTAGCTAGAAGGAAGAAATTCTTCACTGTGCAGGTGCTGAGGCACTGGAATGGGTTGCCCAAGGAAATTGTGAATGTTCCATCCCTGGCAGTGTTCAAGGCCATATTGGATGGAGCCTTGGGTGGCATAGTTTAGTGACAGGTGTCCCTGCCCATGGCAGGGGGGTTGGAACTAAATGATCTTAAGGTCCTTTCCAACCCTAACTATTCTATGATTCTATACCTTCAGGATACTTGTAGTTCTGTGTGATATCCTCACAGCGTTCACTGCCCACACTCTTGGTGCTGATGTTGTTGCCAGTGTACTTTGTGCTACCGAGAGCTGGCTTGAGGGTGTCATCTGCTTTTTGTATCCAGACCTGGCGCTTGGCATTGATGGCAGCAAAGAAGTAGCAGACATCATAATTGGCTTCTGTGTCCCCTTCCTTGATGGCTTGAACAGGGGCTGGCCCACAAAAGGATGGACCTGAAGAGAAATTGTGGCCTAGCTAAGACTCAGGTGCTTTACCAACTGGACCCATGCCTAGTTTAGACCAATACCAGGAGTGGTGAAGTATCTAGTTTTGGAGATCATTAGGGAGCAGTGCTATGATAGAGGTACACAAACCGAACAGATGAATGATGATTTAGTGCTTAAATTCAACAGGGTGAGTCCCTGTCCTTTTGCATCCTTCCACTGGAAATTGGGAAGGGAGGAATATTGAACTGCTTTATTTGTTCACCACTCCACTCCCACCTCCGTACCTCCCCAAAGCCCATCTTTGATATTTTACCTTTGCTTTTTTCCTGGCAGGTGGCATCCAGTGCCTGCCACCCACTGTATTCTGGTAGCAAGTCTGCTCGAGCCATCCAACATTCATTCCAAACATGGAAGGTCCTGCAAGAGACAGCATCATGTGCTTATATCAAGGGACTAAGATCTGAGGTACAGTAAAGTTTTAGCCAAACCACAACCAATTAATGCTCCTTTGAAAGAGCTCAGTGCATGTTGAGGAGCGCAGAGACTGGGGTTTTGACACAAATAGAGTTTCTCCAGCTGGACTGGAGACTATCATTCTTCCTTTGTGAGCCCTAGTAATAGGGTGCTTTTCAGTTTGGGTTGT